TATTAAGGCCATTTAAGAAGATTATTACCATTAATTTAAACCTCGGACGTTCACAACATCAAAATATAACAACTACGATATGTGACTAACAACCCTATGATACATGGAGAAATGTCGTAGCACACTAGTGTGACACGTTAGTAGAAACGTACCTCATTTCACAAATATGTATTTGATAAGGATATAATTTCTCACTCATTCCACATTACGGAATATAATTTCTCACTCAAACGTTCACAATATCAAAAGATTAAGGAGAAAAGAAGCACATTGGCCTTAGTCGCTTAAGCAACGTAGGCTATCGCTTAAGCGATCACGACTTATATATACTGGATCGCTTAAGCGAGAGCTGACATCGTTTAAGCGATTGTGTATTTGAGAAGGATTATTCTAAGTACAAAAGCAAATTACCTTTGATCACTTAAGCGATGTCATCTCTCACTTAAGCGATCTTGTACAGATAAATTTTGATCACTTAAGCGATAGCCTACATTGCTTAAGCGACCAGGCCAATTTTCTTTATATTTGACTATTCCTTCTCAAATTCAAGATCGCTTAAGCGATATTAGTTCTTGCTTAAGCGATCCTGTATAGATAACCTGTAATCGCTTAAGCGATAACCGACTTCTCTTAAGCGACCAAGGCCAATTTTTTTTGCACTTGACTATTCTTTCTCAAATTCAAGATCACTTAAGCGATGTCAGCTCTCACTTAAGCGGTCTTGTACAAATAAGCCGTGATCGCTTAAGCGATAGCCAACGTCGCTTAAGTGACCAAGACTAATTTTATTTGTACTTGACATTTCCATCTCAAATTCAAGAAAATTAGCTTAAGCGATCATATATTGATAACATCTCAATATTGAATGAATTTATATGCACAATAACATCTCAATATTGAATGAATTTAGTAGCACAATAACAACTCAATACTGAATTAATTTAGTAGCACAATAAGAGCAACAATTAAGTAACTAGAAGCATCCTTACTATCATTTTTTCAAAACTTCAAACAAAAAGATATCCAATTGTCAACATAAAAGATGAAAACAACAAAGCATTCATAACAAGTCCGTGAGACGAAAAAGGTAATCTCATAAAGTACTCATCAAAACAATTAAAATTGTTTTATGATTCACTAATAAGTCTTCAACTGTTGGCCTTAGCAACTCTTTTGATTTCATCATTCTTCTTGATGGCATAACTGGAAATACAAGGATATAAAATTAGTTTAATGCACCACAAAAGATTGAAATACAACCAAGAGAAACTAGTGAACAAGGAACAACATCTAGCCACTTACCAAAATACTTAACACCCAAAACAACTTGTCCCATGTCTAATAATAGCCAAGTGCCTATATTAATGCTAGAAAAAATAAAATAAAATTATTAACCGATATATTAAGGGTTGACAGATTTTAAAAAGCAACTACAAAGTCACTTAAGCGATCTGGTGTATCACTTACTAGATCGTTTGAGCGATCCAGTATATCGCTTAAGTGATCTGGTATAAATAAGCCTGATCGCTTAAGCGATCTGTTGCCATATACCCAATCGCTTAAGCGATCTACTGCCATATACCAGACTTATACCAGAAAGCTTAAACGATCAGCTTTTATATACCAAACTTATACCAGATCAGTTAAACGATATACCAAATCGCTTAAGCGATTAATTAGCTGCATAATACATTTTCAGTTATCTCCACCTATAACTGGTGCTACCACCCCTAGCTACCCATAATGCAAGAAAATCATTAACAAATCTAAATCCTTTCAACTTGTATTACATCAAACACAACCGAAGAACCTAAACCACTAAATCGAAATAATAACCCAAACACAATCCATCATTAAATCTTTATAAATAGAAATATAAAATGCAAAGAGGAGATACACATACCTGGACGAAATGTCAGGAGGAGGAAGAGGCGGATCTTTGGTGGAGAAGATGTTCATGGCAAAGGAAGAGGAAGGTGTTAATGGTGGAGGAACAAGAAGATGTAGACGAAGAAGAAGATCTTCGGTTTTGCTAAGAAGATACAGCAACCAGGGGAGGGCAATTCCGACACATTAATGGCTGGAGGGAGGAGGAAAATGAATTTGTTTTGGGTTTGGGTTTGGGTTTGTTTGCAACAATTTCAGGTTTTTGGAGACATAGTATAATTTTTAAAAGATTAGACAATACTCCTAATTAAAACATGATTAGTGCTTAATCATATTTAATTACTCTTCATAAAAAATAAGGTTATTTAGTTAAGAGTTTGAAATTTGATAGCCTTTTAATTAAATTTAAACTCAATATGGTCATTTAATCAAAAGCTCTTAGAAGCAGAGCTCTTACATTCCCAAAAGTGGTGGTGTTGAGGGAGAGTGAGTATGGCATATGAAAAATGCTATGGACACCGACGCTTTGCACACCGAATTTTTATAACGAACGATGTATCCACTGAATTAGACAAGCCACGTATCACGTTAACAAATATTCCGTGAATGAGCGGTCATCCATCAAATATGGACGACCGTCCATTGTTATTGGATGGCCATTCATTTGAAATGGACTCCCGTCCATATTCCGTGGTCGCATCTGACTGATTGTCATGTCCTTCAGTACAAAAATTTGGTATAAAATTTAGATGTATGTAGCATTACTCATGACATATAAACGCTTTGAGAATCTTCAAACGACGTGGAGTAGAATACTGTATCGTTAGTTCTTTGTTGTAGAAGATGATGATGTGTTATTATTACGTCAGGTTACTATAGGTCCGTTTTAATTAGAAAATAAAATAAATATCCATTTTAAGAAGTTAAGTATGAAAAGATTAAAGATATGTATTTAGTAAAGAATTTGAAGATTAATTGATAAATTCTTATGTAAGTACACGGGACCGTTAAGTAATGGTTGACGTCGTATCACAGTGTACGGAAATCCTTCCTTTGCAAGCCGTCTAGTCTATTTAGGCCCCACGATCTCCTTCTTCTAAGCTCTTACTTCTAATAGGTCTGCACTCTATAATCTTCTCTTATCCATTTGTTATCTTCGTTTGCGGGTTTTTTTTTTTTTTTTTTTTTTTTTAACCATGTTTAGGTTAGTTAATGTGTATGTTTACTAATTTTCAGAATCTATTAAATATTTTGTAAATTTAATATTTTAAGATAAATCATAAATATGATAAGTGATCAAGTTTGAACCCAAATTCAATATTTCAAAGTAACTCTTCAAATCCAATATTTTAAGGTAAGTCACAAATGTGATAAGCAATCAAATTCAAACACAGACCCAATGTTTTAAGGTAACTCACAAATGTGCAAAGTAATCTTATAGTTCAAACCTAAAAAGTCAATAAAAAAACAAACCTTCTTGATAGTTAGATACACCCGGTTATTCTTTTCATCTTCCTTCTCCTTTCACATGCCCATCTTCAAAAGATATTATATTATTTTTACTTTTCTTATATGTCATTCCAGTTTTAAGCTGTATAATAGAATTCTTACAGTAAATATACGTTGAGGCTTCAAATGATTCTTTAAGACACGTAATAAAGTTGTAAGACTTAAATTTTAGTTGATATTCATCTTTACACTTCTTTAATTAAAACAAGCATTCATTTCCATTAACCATGCTCCAACTATCTGGAACTCATGTACCCATTTTATTAATTTACTAAATATAGAAATTCAAGGGTATGTTTGTTTTACTTTTTAGAATAGTATTCTACAATAGAATATTATTTAATGAAATAGGATATGATTTTGAGAATATCTTTTAGAAAATATTTAGTATTAAATTGATAATTTCTGAGGCACGTCCTTCTATTCCTGAAGAAATGAAATTGAAATGATTGAAGTTTTTCTATTTTGAATTGTCTTAGGTCTAATTCCTATTACTTTGGTTGGATTATTCGTAATCGCATATTTCCAATACAGACGTGGTGATCAGTTGGACTTTTTTTTAACCCTTACATTTGTTAATTTAACTAAACACCTCTACAATAAAAGTTTATAAATTAACAAAAAACACCCCTACCCACCCAACTATTGTTGGCAAGGTTTTAAAACCCAACTCAGGGGGTGACCCGTTCAGGCGACCGGCTCACGGGTTAACCGGTTTAACCAAGCGTTTGACAAGTTTAAAATCTAGCAAACACCCTTGATAAATACTATCACACTCTATAGGTTTAAAATCTAGCAAACACAACCCTTGGCCAAATGCAAATTGGCGATCGATTGGGATAGTGGCAGCGACACACCAGGGAGGGTAGATCAGGTGATGGGGAGGACAAATCGGTAGCTGGCAAGTTGAGGCATCGCTGGAAAATGACAGATTGGTGGTGAAAGTCAAACAGTCACAATGGCTTTTTTTGGCAAGATGACTGTGGACCTTTGTGAACGACAACAAGGGAACTTGGGAGAAGGTAGATCGGTGGATGAGAAGGCCTATCGATGCCGGAGAAGGCCAATTGACACCGAGAAATGGAAGAAAAATTGTCGGATGATGAAACATCGCACGACGGCGGGAGATGAAGTGTCACACAGCAAGGGAAGATGGAAGGTCGCTAGAAAAGGGAAGGTCATCGCCGATTTGCATTTGGTCAGAGGGTGTGTTTACTAGATTTTAAACCTTCAAGGACTGATGCATATTAATCAGGGGTGTGTTTACTAGATTTCAAACTTGAAACAGTTGAAAGGGTAACGTGACTTGGAGAAGGCCTTGGGTCCCGGTCTAACCGGTTAAACCGGTCGGGCTGATCTGGGTTTTAAAATCATGATTGCTGACAGTCAACCACCACAATCAGACGGTGACCAAAAGTCGTCGAAATGGTGCCCTAACGACTAGATCTGGCCTTAATGTCTAGCGGTGGTTGACGACGACGGTAATTGCTAACAGGTGATAGTGGCTTGGCTGGATGAAAACGTATTTGTTAATTTATAAACTTTTATTAAGAAAAATAATTGTTAAATGTTTTAAGTTGAATATAATAAAATTGAATTTTGAGTTGAATAAAAAAGTAATAATTTCATTAGATAGGATAGGATAGTAAAAAAAAAAAAATTAAAACAAACACAGTTATATTTTTAAACAACAAGGCCCAAAACATAGGAGCCATTATTCTCAAACGATTACACAACACTGAGTTAACCATTCTTCAAATGTCGATAATAATAATAATATAATTGAGATCAAGAGGAATGTCCGCAGACTGCTCATCCATGAAAGCCTTGGTGTTATCAGCATCTATATCAGTAGGAAGAGTCTTGCCCAGTTACTTCTTCAGGATGTTTATCCTGGAAATTCCTTTGTGCAATCCGGGCATCTTCAAGCCCTCCATGAAACTGAGAGCTCGACGAAGTACAGTTATTACCAAAGGCGCCGTTTGAGTACAAGGAGGAATAGGATCCTTGTTGTGGATTAGTTGGCCACGGTGGTGTGGACACTGAGCTATGATTCAGCAAATAACGCCCAAATAGTGCAGTGAATTGCGCAAATAATTCTGCAACTTGTTGAGGATGTACCTGAAATACGAAAGAGGAGACAAAGCAAGCATTAGTTGTGTAAATAAGTTTTTTATATATGCACCATATATGTGTGTAGCATGATACTAAATCTACCATAACTCGTGCTTATCCTCACCATTAAACAAGTATTTGGCGCAAAATGATTTCTTGGATCAGAAAAGAAATTGTGATTTGATAGTAGCTGATCATGTGCTACCTGGAATAAAAATACAGATGAACAAGCATTTTAGTTGTGTAAATACATTTGTCATGGAAAATATTTTATCAAGTTAATACTGGAAACTATCATAAGGGAGCATTTTCATTCTCATACCATGGAAGAAGCATTTGGCACAAAATGATTTCTTGAATAATCAGAAACCAAATTCTGATTTGATAGTAGTTGAGGTTGTACCTAAAGTAAAGAATCATAAACAAACAAGTATTACTTGTGTGAATACGTTTTCATGCATAAGTTGATACCAGAAGCAACATCCATAAGGCATATGCATCCTCACCATTGAAGAAGTAATTGGTGCAAAATGATTTCTTGGATCAAGTTCCATATTGTGATTTGATAGTAGTTGAGGTTGTACCTAAAGTAAAGAATCATAAACAAACAAGTATTACTTGTGTGAATACGTTTTCATGCATAAGTTGATACCAGAAGCAACCATAAGCCATCCTCACCATTGAAGAAGTACATGGTGCAAAATTATTCATTGGGTCAAAAACCAAATTCTGATTTGATAGTAGTTGAGATTCTACCTGCTGTAAATGAGAAACATCGACAAACAAGCATTAGTCCACTACGAATCTATTATTCATGTACTACTACATCCATATATAAGTTGATTTTAAAAATACTGATTTGTGCATACTCACCATTGAAGAGGTAATTGATGCATAATGATTTATTGGATCAAAAACCATATTTTGATTTGATAGTAGTTGAGGTCCCAACTACCGAAGAAAAAATTGAAAACAGACAAACTTGAACTGTGTGAATATATTTTTCTTTTACCATATATATAACTTGTAATTACTAAAAACCAACTAGCATGTTCATCCTCACCATTGAAGAAGTACATGGTGTAGAATTATTCATTGGATCAAAAACCAAATTCTGATTTGATAGTAGTTGAGATTCTACCTGCTGTAAATGAGAAACATCGACAAACAAGCATTAGTCCGCCGCGAATCTATTATTCATGTACTACTACATCCATATATAAGTTGATTTACAAAATACTATAAGTCGTGCATACTCACCATTGAAGAGGTAATTGATGCAAAATGATTTATTGGATCAAAAGCCATATTTTGATTTGATAGTAGTTGAGGTCCCACCTGCCGAAGAAAAAATTAATAGCAAACAAACATGAATTGTGTGAATATATTTTTCATTTACCATATATATATACTTGTAATTACTAAGAACAGCCAGCATGTTCATCCTCACCATTGAAGAAGTACATGGTGTAGAATGATTCATTAGATCAAAAACCATATTGTGATTTGATGGTAATTGAGGTCCCACCTGTTGAAGTAAAAATTATAAACAAACAAGCATTAGCTGCTTGAATATATTTTTCATGCACAATTATAAGTTAATACTGAAAACAACCAGCATACTCTTACTAACCATTAAAGAATCCAAATTTTGATGTGGTAGTAGCTGAGGTTGAAGTAAAAATCATATACAAACAAGTATTAGATTTATATGCAACAATATGTTCATGTACCATATATATGTATATGCTCATACTAAACAAAATTATCCTTACCATTGAAGTATTTGGCACAAAATGATTTCTGAGATCAAATTCCATATCGCGATTTGATAGTAGTTGAGGTTGTACCTAAAATAAAGAATCATATATAGACCAACAAGTATTACTTGTGTGAATACGGTTTTTGATGACAGAAAGCATAAGTTGATACTAAAAGCAACCATAAGCCATGCGCATCCTTACCATTGAAGATGTAATTGGTGCAAAAGGATCATGAAACAAATTGTGATTTGATAGTAGCCCTGGTTCTACTTCCTGAAGTAAGAATAGATTAACAAGCGTTAATATTAATTGTGAGAATATAATTTGTTCATGAAGCATTAATAAGGTTATGCATGCACCCTCACCATTGAAGAAGTATTATCTGCAAATTCATAATTTCTCGTATCAAAGCCCAAATTTTGATTTGATAGTAGTCGAGGTTCTTCCTGTAGTAAGAATCATAGACAACAAGGATTAATTGCGAGAATAAGTTTATCATGCACCATATATATAAGTTGATACCAAAAACTACACAAGACACGTGATCTTCCTTACCAGGGTAGAAGTATTTGTAGCAAAATAATTTCCTGTATCAGAAACCAAACTGTGATTTGATTGTAACTCAGATTCTACCTGAAATAAAAATTATAGAGAAACAAGAATTAATTGTGTGAACAGAAGATATCTATTTGTAATGAAAAGTTCCCATAAGATGATTTTTTCTCACTTCCAAGAACTCATTGCCCAAACAGTGAGTCGACGGTTGCTGAGATTCTACCTGAAGCAATAATCATAGATAATCAAGTATTAGATCTTGATACTTTCCTCCTGCATTATGTATTACTTGATGTTGAAAAGTTTCCGAGACACATGCTCTATCTCACCTCTGTAGAAGTTTTTTCTGCATAGGTTTCAGCATCAGAAGCCAAACGGTGACTCGGTTGACCATCATCGGGAGTTGAAGTATTAGGCTTGCCCGTTGGATTTTTTTCTACGTAGCGGAAAACAAAATCCTTCTGCAAAACAAATGATAAAAGTGAAATGTGTTGGATCGTCTAGAATGCTTTAGTACATACTCACCAAAGGACAAAACAGAACAAAAAACTCTAATTCATCATAATAACTTGTATCCAGACTAACGTCTGTGAGTAATTTTCACAACATATGTGGTTTCAGCAGAGAACATAGCTCAATTTTTTTACCAAATTTCCACGGATATTGATCACTACTGTTATAAAAAATTAAAGTAGACACAAATATAGTTTTTATCAAGCTCATCCATCATCATTTCAATCTTCAACCAGTAATACAAAAAACAGAGTCTATGAAAACCAGTAGATGAAGATTTATGTTCAATAGATAAATTAAACACTAAAGCAAAAATTAAGACAACTCATAATAAGTAATGAAGTTGAGTAAACTCCAAAAATGAGAAAGCAACTCATAAAACAGAAAGCAATACACCTTATAACGAGGGTCGTCATCATCAACATAGTACTCGTGCATAACCCAGTCAGTCTTGATCTTCTGCTTAGGAGAACCACCACGTTTATAGTAAACATAATTCTTTTTGCCACCGATCCGCTTGCCAGTACTTTTATCCCTGACTTCACGATCGTTACCTGTTTTTTCCCAGTTTCCATTTGTTAGGTGGGCTTGTTTACCCTTTACGTTCTTATATGGTTCAGAGAAAAAGGGCCATGCTTGTTCATCGGAGTTAATTTTTGAAAGTCCTGCATCACAATTAAATTCACATAAAAAACTGATTTATCTGACTAACTGATTATTGATAGCTTGAATCCACTTACGGGGCAACTCAGAGGGATCGAGCTTGAAGATATCAAGTTCATTAATCTCGTCAGGTGCAGAAAATTCAGGATCAATCCTCTTCTTCTTGAGGAGACGGATGATCTCTATTTCCAGCTTCCGGCCCATGAATGCAACAAGAGAGGCCATAGATATCTGATTCAGCAGAAGTAGTGAGAAAGAGTGAAGACAAGTAAGAGAGCTAGCTATCTCTGGTCTCTGATTGGGAAGACTTAAGCCTTGACTACACGCTAAGCTTCCTATGTGCACAAAATGGGAACTGTTGAATGAGGTTATAACAGCAAGAGAATCTTAAAAATTAAAACCACGTTGACTGGATATTACTTCTATAAATATTTATAATTATAACTTCAGTTAAAAAGTTGGGAAATAATATAAATAATTATATATTAATCAAATAATAAATTTGGTCTTGGAAGGCAAAGATAACAAGAAAATAACAAAAGTAGATATCTTTTAAAAATTTAGAATAATTTATAATACGCATGTTAAAGTGAACTAGAAGCAATGTTCCGAAAATCGGACCGAGCCTTGACCTATTCAAGGATTCGGTTCTGGTTTGACCAGTTAGATCGGTCGATTGGACCGTATTCTATAAAATTACATTTTAGTCTCTAAATGTTTGAAATCCATTCAAAACAATCCTAAATAATTACACATTTTGCCCTTAAGGTTTGAAATCTATCCAAAACACCCTTGTTGCGTGAAGAGAATGGTGAGTGGTGGCGGCAGTGACGATTGACGGCCAATCGAAGTTTGGAATCATGGGGCTTTTGATGTCTAGGTTCCGGTGAATCTTATGGTGGTGTCAGGGAGTTCTACCGGCGCTGGAATTTTCCAGAATCAAGAAGAAAGGTCAACAGTTGTGTGAACAATGGTGGACGACGATCGATGGCCAATTGAAGTTTGGAATGATGGGGCTTTTGATGTAGAGGTGTCAACGAATCTTATGGTAGTGTTAGGGAGTTATAACGGTGTCAGAATTTGCCAGAATCAAGAAATAAGGTTGACGGTTGTGCGAACGATTTTTGGATGGTGAGCGACGAAAGGTTGGACGACAGCCACTGAAAATGGATGGGTTTTGTCATGGAGATGCTGTCAAGTCTTATGATGGTATTATCTCCCTCGAACGATGCTAGAATCTGACGAGATTGAGTAGCGATTACACTTCGATTGGACTGCGATTCGACACTATTCTGACGGTCCAACCGCAGCTCAATCTAGTTTGATTAAGAATACTAGTTTTCAAAGGACACCGGACTGGAGATGACGTCGGTTCTTAGTTGAACCGGTCTGACCAGTTGGTCTGGTCCAGTTTTCAGAACACTGGCTAAAAGAGCATTAATTGATAATAATTAGAGCGCGCCATTAAGTAACGATTGATGAAGTGCGAAGGAGGAAAAAAAAAAAAAAAAAACTATTTTCAAGCGTGAATGTTGAAAATTAACATAGTCCAAAGTAAGAAGAACCCACCATGACTCTTGAACCATTTTTTTCCTAATCCTACATTATCCATTCACTGTCTTTCTAGAATTTTCTTCTCCTTGAAGATTTCATATCACAATGACTTCCCTTTAATTCGCAGGTTGCTTTGGTGCTACTGTAGTCTCCTTAATTCCATTTTTTTTTTCCATCGGTCTAAGAATTAATGTTGTTTTGTGAGCAAAAAATATGTTCCCATATAAGGTTTAGCCAAATCCCAAGTTCATACCTTTGGCTATATTTATTCTAGATTCTCATCCTTAAACTAGCACAGTAAGTTAATTTTGAATTTTGACTTGTGCTATTACCATTCTACCCTTCAATTATTATTTCATCCCATCCATCCACCATCACCATCACCATCACCATCACCATCCAGCCACCACCCACCAAATCTACTCGATCGTCGTTCAGGCCTGATTGATCAATCCAACACCACCATTAAGATCCTCTCATCTCCGAGCGCGTGCTTGTTAGAGTCATGAAAGTGACTCTATTAAGATGATAAAAAGGCCTTTTTGTGCTCAATAATGAAATCATAGTGAGGCACTTAAAGAATTTACGAAATTATTTATGAAAAATCACATTTTAATTTTTCTTTACAATTTGTGCATGTTTGAAATGAATTTTGAGATTGTGTAAATTGATATTAGGGTGTGATTTGTTAATTAGAGTTGGTTTTGTCTCATTTATGCTATTCAGGGGTCAAATTGTCATAAAACATGGGGTTGATTTTATCACTTTTTATTTATGTAGGGACTAAACTGATGTTTGCCATCCTCATTATAAAAAGAAAGCCGAAGGTCACAAACACAGAGAGCCGCCAAGGGACCTTCACCCATCATCGGAGTTTGGTCGCGGGTCGGCGACTCTTCAACTTCTCACGCCGATCAGCCACCCTCCACCGCCGTTCAATCCACGTCGGCGACGTTACGCCACCCACCATCACTTCTCTTCATTTTCCGGTGACCTTGGAGCTTCTTCGGCGTCGATCCAACTTCTCTAGGTAATAACCACCCTTCCCACGATCAGATCCACCTTCCTCCAAGCTCTGTTGTCGTCGTTCAGTCGCCATCTCGCCAAATTGCTGCCTCGCCTCTTCACCTTCCAGCCGCAATTTCGCTCACTTTCCGGCAACCTCTCACCTTCCAACCAGTAGATCCATCATCTCCATCACCTGATCTATCTTCCTATACCCTTGGATCTCCTCTTCGTCGATCGCCACCGTGAGCTGCTGCCGGATTCTGTCGAGTTGCGTCTGTTCGTCTTCCAAGAGTTCCCTTGGTCATTTTCATCCCTCCTTCACATCATCTCGTTGTCGGTTACGTCCTCTTCGCCATGACCAGCTCCGTTCCTGACGTTCCAGCCTTCGTCGACACCACCATGAGCAACTGAGCTCCTAGTTGCCTGTTACGGTGTAGGTGAGATCAGGATCGACACTCATGGATCTTCTCGATAGTTCTCGACTAGTTGGATGAGCCCGAATGTTGGACATTTGGTTAAGTTTCTTGTATTCAAATTATATTTGTTTTCGTTTCAATTTATTTGCGATGCTTTAATATTATTCTAATGCTCGACGTGCTGAATGATAATGTCCATTGAGAACATTTGTTGATATATAACTTTTCGCATAACTGAATGTCAGTTTGAGATTATTGAGTGTTGATTATGGCTTTAATTGCTTCGATACTGATTGCAATCAAGTTGTATTAGCGTTTAATATCATTTCTACTAAGAATGCATTTATTGTGTAATTAGTTGATTGGATGATACAAGTTGATAGGTTGTACTTGTTAACGTTGTACCAACTAGTGGTGTATAAGGGTTTAGCATTTTTCGGTTAGTCAATGATAGTCTTTAACTAATCGATCTGTAACTAAGACGATAGGGAGACAGGATAGATTTTACCTAGATTGCTGGGAGATGTTTTTATTGATTTGCCTAGCCTTGTAGGTTTAGAAAATTGAAGAGCGATAAAAGGAATTGTGAGAGTTGGTCTTGAGTCAAACCAAATCCGTAGCGGCAAGCTTTTAATATTGTGTCTTAGTTAGCAATTTATTTGATGCTTTTAATTTCCTGCAATTAATTAGTTTCCTTAGTTTTAATCAATCAATTTGCCAATTTATCTTTCATTAACTCAAATATACATTAGGTCATTAGTCTTGCTCTTTGTGGATTTGACCCTACTTACTGCTAACTACAGTATTTAGGTTTAATTTTGTGGTCGTGACGACCGGTTCGACAGTGCTACTGTCGTTTGTTGACCACTGCAATTTTTTTGTTCGCCCGTTTCAAGAAAATTTCAGCCACTCTCGACGCCAAAAATCAACCCCATTACCACCATAGCTTCACCGGTGTCCCACCTCAAGAACCCCCAACAACCCTGACTGTGGTTGCCCGCCATTTTCCGTTCGTCACTCCCCTTAGGGTTTTACAATTTTGGTGAAAATTAGGTTTAATTGGAGGTCGATTTAAGGTTTTACAAGGAGTTTGTGGATTTTGATTGATTGGAGGTTGATTATGCTTGTTTTCAAAGTGTTTTTGTGTTGTTTTTTAGGGTTGGATTTATTTTGGGGGGGTTTGCAATGAGGTGTTTTGATCGCGAATTGCAGCAGGTGGCGGCCATTGATCAGGAAGCAACAGTGGTTAGTGCTGGTAAGGGTTTTGTTTAGGAGGAAGTGGAGAGGCTAATGGTGGTGAGTGGTGGGATTTTAGAGCCGAAAAAGGGAATTAGGCCTGATAGACTGTGATCGATTTGGAGTCGGAAGTGGAAGGGTTTTGGAGAGGGAGAAATTTCTGAATTGGAGATGAAAGTGGAGGGGTTTTGGAGAGGGAGATGAGAGGATCCTGATGGTGGTGTTGGATTGGCCAATTGACGTCAAGATCAAGCCAAATCAGGCCTGAACGGCGATCGAGTGGGTTTGGTGGGTGGTAGTGGTGGCTAGATTGTGATGGTGATGGTGGATGGGTGGGGTGAAATAAAAATTCAAGGGCAGGATAGTATTAGCACAAGTCAAAATTCAAAATTAACTTACATTGCTAGTTTAAGGGTGAGAACCTAGAATAAATGCAACCAAGGGTATGAACTTGGGATTTGGCTAAACCTTGGGTGGGAACATGTGGTAATTTGCTCCTGTTTTGTTGGATAATTTGTGCTTTAAAATTAATGATCAGATGTTAGCGTTGGTGTTATTTGGAGTTGGGAGCAACACTAGTAACAACATATTGGCATTCTCCTTATGTAAAACAGAATTAAAATGGCAATAAGAATTTAATTGATAACTCTTTTAAATAAGGATTAATTCCCATTAAACAAGCTCCAACTATCTGGAACTTCGCCATTCTATTACACATGAATAGGAAACAAGTTGAATTTTCAAGTGTTTTAAACAACAAGGCCCTAAAAGAAAAGAGCCATTATTCTCAAACCATTACAGAACACTGTTTAAGAGTAAAACATGAATAAAACCATACTTACGATGTCAATAACAATAATATTCTCTCCCGTAGAATTTAATTGAGATCAATAGGAATGTCGACAAATAGCCCATCCACGAAAGCGTCGGTGTTATTATCAGTGTCTGTATCAGCAGGGAGAGTCTGTCCAGTTGCTTCGTCAGGATACTTATCTTGGAAATTCCTATGTGCAATCCACACATCTTCAAGCTCTCCATGAAATTGAGAACTCGACAAAGTACAGTTATTATCAAAGCCGTTTGAGTATGAGGACGAGGATTCGTGTCCTGGATTAATTAAGGGCCACTGTGGTGCATACACTGAGCTG